ATTATCCAGTACTAATCTCCCCGGGACAAACCCGGACTGTTCCGGGGCGACTATCTGGTCATTAGCGGTGAAAGGCGTCTAGCCATGGTTTTTGCAAGGATCTTTCCAGCTACGTTTAGTAGTGATATGGGGCGGTAGTTTTTAACATCCGCCTTGTCCCCCTTTTTATACAGCAGTGTAATGACTCCTTCAGTAGTGCGTGTTCCCAACCGATGACCTTCCAAGACCGCATTAAATACCCTCAGCAGATCTGGTCCCAATAGGGACCAAAATTTGTCAAAAAATTCTACAGGGAAACCGTCTGGCCCGGGGCATTTGCCTCTCGCCATGCTTTTCATGGCGGCGGTGAGTTCGGCCAGCGTGATTGGTTGATCCAGTCTTTCCTCTTCCAACGTGGATAAGATTTTTTTTGTTGATTCCCACAACATGTGTTCCATTTCCCTCGGGACTATAGGTCCGTTGGGGTCTTTTTCTGATGTCAGTAACTTCTCGTAAAAGATTTTAACGTATTCACATATCTTCGTAGACACTTGTGCTTTTCGAAAGGCCGTGTTTACTGGGTGGGCCAACTCAGTAATCATATTCGACTTATAGTCTTCCTTCCTTACCGCAAAGGTCCTCGTATTCATGCGGTCCTTGTTCAGAATGTCATCTATGCATCTGAACTTGGCCCATGAGTCCTGTCTGTTTATTTGAATCTCTTGCCATTCTTGTAGCCATATTGAGCGACAAAGAAGCCAATGTCGGTCCAGCAGGGGTGAGGAACCCAGATTCCTTTCTGCTTTCTCTATATTCCTTTGTATTTTGATTTCTTCGTACCTTCTGTTCGTTGCTTTAACTCTTGAGATTGTTTGAAGTAGGGCCGACATGAAATGCAGACCTTTGTCCAACCAATCTTCAGGGCTAGAGTATCGTGTAGAGGAAGCTCTCGACTCTTCCCAAAAATTAACTACCCATTCCGTCATTAGTGGATCGTCCATGATCTGCATGTTTAGCTTAAAAGTGCCCCGTCCTTTCTCAAGATCAACTCCCATGTTCACTGATATGGACACAGGTTTGTGGTCCGAGAGGGGATCGGGGATAATTTCTGCGTTAATTACCCTATTCAAAGCCAGCTCACTAACTAGGATCACATCCAATCTGCGATAGGTAGCACGTGAGTTGGAAGAGAACCAGGTGTAGTCTCGCTGTGTGGGATGAAAACATCGATAGGGATCAAACAGACCATGTTCAACGAGCAATTCGTTGAGAGCCGCCGACTCGGCGGGATGGGATAACGTAGATGAAGAGTCTATGCTTTCGTTCAGTACGGTGTTCCAATCACCTCCTACCAACAGGTACTCAGTGTTGGGGATGATTGCATTTAGTGACTGGAAAAAAGAAATTTTTGAACCGTTGTCAGCAGGTGCATACACTGAGAGTATGCACCATTTACTGTTATTTATGAACAGGGTTAGTTTTGCCCATCTACCATCATTACCTGTTTCAATTTCTCAGATATTGTTGCTTAGAGAGCTATGTATAAGGATGGCTACTCCTCCTCTGGTCCCCACCGGTGGGGACCATAAAAGTCAAAGCATGGCTGAGTGGCAAAAATGGAAAATGTGCTGAGTCGGCGCAATGATTATTTTGCAGTCTAAATGATTTTTTGTAAATGTTCTATTATTATTTCTGGAAAGAACACGACCTCATCTATGGATTCTCAAAATTTCAGATTTTTGTG